AAGGAGGGATATGTGAAAGGCCCATGGTTTGTTCCATTCACACTGACAGGAGAGAGGACCAGGAAAAATAAATGTTGCAAACAAACAGGTGTGTTAGATCTCCATAAGAGAAGAAAGTATGAAAACGAACATGAAAACTTTGCTTGGAAGACTTAGCTTTCTCACACCGCTCTAGTAAAATCTGACTATACTGAAGTAATTCCTTTCCATTTGTTTACCTTGTGCCTTTTTTTTCCACTACCTGTTTAACATGAATTTAATGAAAACACTACTCTTATTTACATATTTGTGCTCCCCTGATTGTATGCTGTAACCCAACAATAGGAATGTAATCATGGAATGTTAACTTAAGATTCTTGAGTGCATTGCTCCAGTTTAACTATGAAAACATTTTCTTGTTTGTGAATAACCTAATAGAATGCAGATGAGAGATTATATCATTAATGTTAACAATGCATGTAATTTCAGACAAAGCTCTTCATTCAGAAATCAGCAGCTCTGTCAAAGGTTCATAATAATAGGCTTTAAAGCAAATTTTAAAAGTAATTGTCTAATTCGATTAGTTCGTGGTTTGGGATTTTCTGGTCTGTACTTAATTGCAGTACTTTGAAGGATAAATTATACGTATACATAGTTCCTTAGAGAAATTGATGGAAATGAAATGAAGCAGATAATGCAGGTACCTTCCAGGCAAATGGGCTCTCCTTTCATTCAATTAAGAAGTCAGAAACATTACTTATCGAAGGACAAAGAAAACAAAATAAAAGCCACAAAAATTAGATACGTTGAGTAAACCAAGTTTTTTAAATGCCCTTTGCCTTGTATCTGCTAAACATAGGATCCAGTTACACTGAATTTGTTAGTATGCATTTATAAGGTAAAGATTTCTCTACATGTTAATTTGGAATCTTTTTTTTTTTTTCCCACCGATAAAGACTTATCTTGTATTCTTCCATGCCTTCTTGTAAGCCTTTCCTTGTAGGGGGATAAGGTAAGGAACATGAAGGATCTGTCTGTGATACCTAGCATGGGATCAGCTAGGCCTTTGACTAAGGCTAGCAGGTCTTACATAATAATTTGTTACAGTACCTTTCTGTTTCCTGGTCTGTGGTTTGGTGCTTATTCTCAAAGCCAGTGAAGCTGCTCATATCCACATAGCCATCATTCTCATTAGCAGCAGATAATGCCCTGCTGGGATCTTCAAAAAACTCGGTAAAAGTTCCTGCTCTTGTGGGTCTTCGAGGAGGAATTTGTATATTTTCATAGTCAGAGCTCATAGCTGGAATGTTTTCATAGTCGGAAGTGTCAGCGTTGGGAAAAGAAATGGACCTAGGTTTTGTTAATGGGAGTGGCATGAAAGGAGGTCTGGACCGGTCTTCAAAGGACTCCACTCTTGACACACTCCTGCTGAAGGACTTGGGCGTTCCTTTTCTCTTACCATCCTTATAGAATAGAACAGCTGAGGGAGACTCAGACATACGGAGCTTCCCTGCATGTGATTTTAGCTGAGGTGAACTACTTAGGCTCCTCCTGTCCAGCTCCATCAGCCTTGAAGGTCCATGATAGCTGGACTCTGATGAGGACCTCGAAGATGAAACATTAACATCCACATGAACTTTATTTTCATTTTTTTTCTTGAATTTTAGAGTGAGGAACCTCTTAAAGGAAGATTTCTTTTTCTTGGAATACTTATCGGGTGACTCATTTTCTATCAAAAGTGAAGGGGAGCTTTTAGTGATTGGCTTTTTGGTGATGCAGGCAAGTTCAAAAGGAGGTGGTATATCAACAACTGAGGATGGGGTAGATAAACCACCTGATGAAAGGTGATTTCTCTGGGAAAAACTACCTGAGGAACCAAGGACGCAAGGTAAAGACAAGTTATCTTCTGTCCTTTTTATTCTACCTTCATCCAGTACACAGCCATCACTTTCTTTGTAAATGGAGACAGGCATCTCTCTCCCTTCAACAGAGTAAGATCGAGGATATAAAGCAAAGCATCTTGACATGGTTGATAGTGCCCTATTTACTTCCATTGGTTTTCCTTCCACTGACAATAAATTACTGCTCAAATCTTTAGTCCCAGAGCCATTGTGAGGAGATGGCAAATCAGTTTCAGGCCCAGTTTCTTCTGGAACTGTTTCTGGCACATAACCTGGCATTTTCCCAGAGAGGGATCGGGTCCTAGTGACGATGCTTTTCCGATCAATGGGCAGCGAATTGTTTTCATCATCCATACTTAAGTCATCCTTTTGACTGTGATCGGCTCTTATATCAGTCGGTCCATCATGAGGGATTTCATTTTCTGCAGGAAGCACATAAGGGTCATCTAGAGAATCACTGTTAATTTCTCTTTCCTCTGATTGTTCAGGCTCAATTACCACTTCAGGGACTGCTAAAGCTTCATGCAAGACATGTTTGTTCTCACATTCTGCGTTCATTTTGCCTTTCTCACAGACTGCTAACTCTTCCTTAAATTGAACCTGTTCAGGTGGAGCTAGGACACTTCTGCTGGGGCTGTTTTTTTCCACCTTATTGTCTTCAAGGAACTGTAAATCTGTCATAGAGGTTTCCACAATATTTTCACTATGGTCTTCAATGAGCACATTTCCCAGCTCTGACTCCATCCCTGGATCATTAGTGTGGTCGTCTTCATCTAGAGAGGTCCTTTGGGTTTGTGGGTTCTCCTCCGAGCGCTCCTGGGGTATTTCCTCACCACATTCATTCTCAAAAGGAGTAATTTGACAACCACTATGAATACTCTCTGCAATCCCGGTTTCTTCCTCTTCTTTCTCAAAGTCTTTGCTTGCTTCACAGGCTGCTTCTGATGTCTCCTCTGTGCCTGTCCTCTCAGTGATGTGGCAGCCATGACTAGCATGTTCTGTGTTTGTGTCAGTGTGGTTGTCTGAGTCTGATTCCTCCTTTTCAGCTGCAGCTGGATGGATGGAGTCTCCCAAGCCATCTTCAGTGCTGGGTTCATTTTCAGTCAGTTCCAGGATGGGAGCTGTTTCTTCATGGGCCTCCTTGGGCAGCGTGTTACAGCCCTCGCAGCCATCATCTTCCAACACTTCTTCCATGTTCGAATCAAGCTGTTCTTGCACACCGTGATCACCATCATGTGCGGGACACCTGTCTTCCTCTTCTGAAGTCTCAGGCAGAGACTTTCTCGTTAGATTATCTTCACAGGTATCATCCATCGCATCCTTATCTTTATTCAAAATATGATCATTGTCAGTTTTACAATAGCTATAATTCTTAGCCAGTTGCAGACTATTAAAAGATTCCTCCAAATTGTTTTTTATTTTACTGCAGTCATTTACATCTTCATCTGCATTTTTGGAAGCATTATTATCCACATCAGAGGCATCTGAGGCCTCACAAAGTATTTTGGACTGGTCACAGTCTCCGATTGACTCTTCTGAGTCTGGATCCCTCAGTTCAGCAGTATCTGAAGGGTCATGGTCAGATTCGGTACTTTCTAGGTTGCCAGTGTCCTCATCATTAACAATGTTGATATCCTCTTCCTCCCGCGCCGTTTCTGGAATTTCCAAGACTACATTCTCCGCTGAGGAGTCTAGGCTCTGATCATGGTCATGTTCCAAGTCATAGTCTTTGCTAGTCAGCTGTGCTTCAGGAACTGCATTATCCGCCTCAGAATCTGGGCACTCGTCATTATATTGATCTCCTTCATACATTTCTCCATCAGGACATCCCAGTTTCCCATTTGAGAACTGATTTAAGTTATTGCTGGTATAAGCACTGGATTTGCCCTCGGTGTTAACTGAGAGTTTTGGTTTGGGAGCAATAGGTGGTTTGGGACCCCTAGACGTAGAATTTGTGTTATGAAGAATGTCAGATCTTGGCAGCAAAGGAGAAAATTTGGAGACAGCTACTGGAGAAAGATCACCAATAATCTTTGGTTTAGGTGCTAGTGGTGGCTTTGTGATTTCTAGAAAAAAACAGAAAGACATGTTAGTTATCACAGTTTCTTATACCAGAGTATACAGCACAGCTGACCTGTCAGTGAAAGATACTGTAGCTCTGAAAAGAAAACAAATGGAGAGAGGAGCACAGACCATGTGCACTGTGCTTCCGTGTGGTGCTGTAGCTATTCCAGGGCATATGGTTTAAGGTTATAAGTGGACTGAAGCAGATGTAGCCCAAGTACTCTGGGGAAGATAAAGATATATAGCTGAAGGGCCAAGGGTATATGCCATGATATGGGCATCATCTCTGACACTCAGCAGGCCTAGCGACAGGAGAGCCCCTTGGAACCTGCCCCAGAAATCTGTACTTAGCCCTGAGCTAAGTATAAACACTCGGAGTCAAGAGTGTTGAAGTGGTTTACTGAAGCAAGAAGAAATGCTTTCTAGCTGTAGTATCTGTTCTCTCATAACACAATATAACCTTTCATAGGAGTGTTTTTTAATTCAGTATGTAATTTACAGGATTTACTGAGCAGAAGCCCCTCCCCCTCGAAAGAAGAAAAAAAAAGAAAAAAAAGTTCCATTGACAGATTGAGAATTCAACCTGTCCAAACTGACACAAATGCTTGGAGGCCAGAGACAAAATCTTCCCATCTGCCTTTTCTGTGGGAACAAAACTGGAGTTACATTTTATATGTCAACTGACAGTAATCATGATGGATAAGACAGTTTGCCAAAAGCTTGGCTAATACTTCACATTGATTATGCAGCTGAGGTATAGTGAACTGAATGAAATAGTTACAACCCAAAATAAAAAGAAAGTTACTCTTTCAATTATAGTTGAGTTTTCAGTGCGTAACTTCAGTCCCTTTTCTAGCCAAAATAACCTGTCTGAACTTCTGTCCCTCTGTAACTGCCAGAATGCCTTGCAAGTACAGTCTTTTGTGAACATCAAGATATATTTCTGAGAAGTGAATTAATCTTGCAAAATGAAGAGCTATGTCTATGACCTCCTGGATATAACCTTGGCCAGCCAGGATTTCTAAGCTTTTTATGCTGGAGGTGCTGACACCTGTATAGGGAAGTTTAAACAGTTCAACAATAATCTAGCTTCTCTTCACCATTCTTTGGACTTAAAACTCAACTATAGACATTTTACGTACAGTACAGTTTACGTGGCACACTTCAAGCCATATGGGCCTGAAATTAATTTTCTTTGAATAACTAAATGAAATGCTGGAAGAGTGCATAAATATGCAACAATAGAGATCCCCTCTCATGGGAGTTTAGATGAGATGAAATAGGTGGTGTAAAGAAGCCAAATACCAAATGTTTACAAGATAGTGATAAGTAGAGAAAAGGTTGTGCTCTCACTAGTGTTTTCTAGTTGTCATTAGGCAATTACATGGTTAATCAATCAGAACTCTCTTATTCTTCTCATATGTTGGATTAATACATACTCTAGCAGAGAAAGGGGAGCTCTCCAATTAAAGGAAAAGCTACTTCAATATAGATAGGATAAGATGCTTTACCATTCTCTGTGCAAAATCCTCATGCCCTACATATGGGGAATAAGGGAACAGTATCTCCCAAGACACATTTGGGACATGATCCATGGGGGCAAATGCTATGCTAAATCATGGCACAAGTTTCTGGAAAAGTGGTTACTGTGCTGCAGCACATTTTTGAGTATTTTGGAATGCAGACTTCTGTCATCTGGAAGTGAAGACAAATAAAATTCAGCTGGGCACCATACTGAGAATGAGGTAATACTGAATATGGGCTGCTTAAAATGATTCTTCAATTGTTCTAATATTTGGTGTCACGGTACTTTACTTATTCTTATCTTGGTCAAGCTGCAATAATTTATATTGAACTCATAAAGGCATATCAGTCCTATTAGGCTTTAGGAGATAAAAGAGACTCTTCCCTGAACACATCCTACCCTTGCTACAATTTCTTCTAATACTCAGAATGTTTGTGACAATTCAACATTCTGTAATTCACTCAGAAAACAGCCTTTCAATACTTGTGAGAAGCTGGAGAAATTTCACTTCAGTTAAAAACCGAGTGAATTATTTCAGAATTATTTCAGAAGGAATGGGAAGTCTGTTCTAATCAGGCTCCTTATCACATACAGCAATTCAGAATTATTTTCTGTCTGGTGATTTTTTGGATCTAGTTTCATGTATGCCACATGCAGAAACAGAAATACAGATATGACCATTAATCTCCCTACAAGTACATTAATCTGAATAATTAATGCTAGCTAGCTAGCTAGCTAGCAGGCTGTGTATGGAAAAGAGGATAAACAGCCATCAGTTTTGGCTAGTAGAATGTGTTTGACCATGCTAGCCCTGTGCACAAGCATTTACTTAACAGGCAAAGCATAGTCTGCAGTCATTTATTAGTATGCAGTATTTCCACAGGATAAAAATAGTGGTGGTGCTGGTTGTGCTGCAGGCAGCCTACTAGCCCATCTCTTTACAGTGACTTTTGATGGGAGACTTCCACACTGAGGGGAAAGGTCTCCAGTGATGAAGTAAGAGAAAGGTGGAAAACATCAGTGTGTAGCTGGAGGAAGGTCATTCAATGCATCACAATGTTTTTTATGGGAAGAAAGTGAAAAATTGGATTTTGCTTATCTGCAATTGTTGAGTATAAAAAGACCCCCATTCACAGTGTGAGACAAAAAGGTGCTAAAAGTGTACTATGCACTCATCAAACACAGCCTGGCTTGGGAGATGCAATAAAGAAATTACAAGAGGTTTTGAAGTAAGATTGCTAATGTATCCGTCTGTATTTTTCAGTACCTGGTATCTGTTAAGAACCATTGATATCATACAGCAACGTTGTGTTGAGGGCAAAATGGGCTGCACCTCTGGTATTTCCACTTTTACCTTCAACATTCTTTTCAGCTTGGTAGAGATCGCTCATTTCTCAGTGTATTGATAAATCGCTTTATGCTCTAGAAATGAATATGATCATAGTTCTAATCTGGAAAGAAGTATCCTCAAAATGTAAACTAATTTGGGGGAATATTCCAGCCGTTTTAGCCACGCACAAATTCCAGTGCGTGGTTGTACCGGTAGCTCTGTAAGGAGCACGTTCTCTAAAGAAGCCCTGTGTTTTGCAAACCTTCAGTAGGCACAGGATGTCCTGCTGTTCCTCCTTTGTTTCTTTAGCATTGGCTAACCTAGACATCTTGATCAAGATAAACATAAATGAGGCTCTTTGCTTTATTTGGGGTGATTGCTCCTCAAAGGTGGCAGAGCCAAGTCCTGCAGACATTGCTATTTGAGCCAACCTGCAGAACTGCACGTTTTATGTGGCCTTGCTGGCTTTGAATTGAATGGTTCTTGTGCAGAAGAAAGGAGAGGCTTAAAGATTTTGGAAAAGGAGGGAGAGGTAACTTTATACTTGCTGGTCTGCAGTACTGCAGTGAGAGTGTGTACTTGCTTCAAGCTGTCCACTGTTGCTTTGACAAGGGCATCTCCTTAATTACTGAAGACACAGAAGAAGTAACTAATCTTTCTCTCCAAATCACTTGAAAAATGTTATATGCCAAGTACTTCACTGTTACTGAATTGCGGTTGCTTCATTTACAACCAGCAGCAGTTCTAACGGCAGTGCTGAAAAGTGTTAAAATCAGCTAAAATCAGGGAGGAAGCAGAATGTCTTGTAGCCCTGGCTCCTTTGCCAGATCTGCCTCGTGCATAGACAGTGCATGAGAATTTTAATATCTGTAACTGAGTCCTTACATCTGTCCCACCACAGATCAGTAGTGTGTTTATACTCAACAGTTGCAGATAAGCAAAATCAGATTTCTCAGTTGTTGCTCTCCTTCAATGAGATCTAACGGGTCAGTATCTTTTCCTGAATAATGTGGCATTTTAGGAACTGCAAAGAACAAACATGGCTCTATCTTCATCTTTTTGCAATGTGCAGCTTTCCCTAGAAGTGTCTATCCAAGAGTGGGACACAGGTATTACCTACTCCACTCCTGGGATCTGATGAGTCCTGAGTACAGCCTGCATTTTCTCATGTCCTTATTCTCATAAGAGGAAGTTTTTGTATTTAAACACTGAGTAGTGAGAAAAAGATTGTAGCTGAGGAGAATACCTGGATCTCCCCAGCTTTGGCGCACATAAGCAAGGTTGACTTAAAATAATTTAATGAGCTCATTTCCTGTGCAGAAAATAACAGTGCAGACCTCCACTTTAAAAGAAATAATATAACTTAAAGACAGATACTCACTTTCCCTCCAGTGATAAATTTTCTACAGCAAAATGGAATCAAATAATCTTGTGTTTCATTCTGCTACCTTCACAGACATTGGCAGTGGAAGAGAACTTACAGCAATGGACCCTGTGCATAATATGGAACAGTGGACACTGTGTCCTACTCTTTTCCACTGTGTCAGCTATTGGCTGCTTATGATTTCTTCCGTTGTAACTACTTTCTAACTACTTATCAGTTATCTCCTTAATCAGTTTTCTCTCTGTCTCTCTTTTTTTTTTTTTTTGATAAACAAATATTTACTTAAAAAAAAAATCTCTCCAGAAAGCAAATTTGTCAAGCACAAAAGACTATTTTCTGCCTTTGATCAGAACTGGTTCAATTTCTGCTTTCTTTGGTATCTGAGCCATTTAAAAGGATCTGGCTGTAACTTCTGAATGGCCAAAACCAACATTGTGCTGTAAGGAATGTGTATGTTCACAAATAATTATTCATGTTTATTTTAGGATGTGTTTTATGTTGAAGGGAGACACACCCACCTTGTGCTTGAAAGGAAACTCTAGGGGAATAGGAATTTCTTTAGCCTGCTCCTCCCCTTATTGTTTGATATTTCCTTGTACTGACAAGGATGGCTTCCTCTCCTTACCCACCTTCCTCTGGGCAAGCCCATGTTTCAACAAAGTTTCGTTCCTGCCGGCCGTCCACATAAAATTACACTGCAGTCCTTGCCTCGTCCCTCCCCACCTCCAGGTTTTCTGTGCTGGAATGGCAATCAACCCATACA